TTATCATTATGCTTCAATGTAAAAGACTTAAGACTTTACCTTAAACCAAACTTGAACAGTCAATCTCAAACTCATTTATTTAATAATTTATAAAGAAAATACAAAGGAAATTCATGTTTAATTAATGAAACACTTCGAAGTTCGTCAAAAATACTCCGCTGCGCGTCGCGTGGTATTTTCAACTCTCTTCTCGGTGTTTTATCCGGTGATCAAACACTGCGTCTCATGTTTGATATATAGTACTTAAACGTGCTGAGGTACCCTGACGGAAATTTAAATTGTTTTGAAACCACAAAGGCTGGTGCATGACTCAGGCTTAACTCTCAATATCAGCAAATCCTACAAGTTTCATCCCAAGTACGAGAAATGACAATTTTTTATGTACTCTGAGGATTATATTAGATATCTTAGCAATTCGATCAATGAAAATTTAACCTGATTCACCTGGAAACATCATAGTGATGCTATTTATGCACTGAAAAATCAGTAAAACCGTTAACTTACTTTTTTCGTCATTGGACGTGCTGCCTGTGAACAAGCATCAACATTCTATGAATACTTTATTTCTCAAGCAGACTATTTTACTCTTGAACGTTCTATATTAGCTTATACTGTCTATACTGTAAGCAGCCTATATCTAATCTTATGCATGACCTCTTTAACAGAACTGTACTAGTTAACGTTCTAAATGTATTTCAAGAAACAAGCTTTGTCACTCTTACAACTATAGAGTATCTACTTCAGGATTTTTGTTGTCAAACGTTCCGACTTGAATTGAATAAACTTTTTTTTTCTCTCTTTCGACCAAAGTTGTGGAATGAACCTTTCCATTTCCGACATCTTGCAAAGAATACAGTGTTTCGGCCATATTGGTTTTCCAAAACAATAAAACGGCGGCCATGTTGGTGTCCCAAACCAATCCTGTGGGAGTTGAACTCTTTTCTTATGAAAACGGTCTCTTTTGTTCCAATAAATATGCATAGACGCTGGGCACGTGAGCGAAAACGCTGACTATAAATTAAATTAAATTCTCCGCACATTTCTTTGTGTTATTTTGAATATACATTGATACTTCCACTCTAATCAAAATAATTTGTAAAATGAGCCAAAAATTGTGAGTCATACATTCTGTTTTGCTTAACATGTTTCTACTTTTACGTTTTTTTTTCTGGTTTTGATTTAATTTGTTTAAATTTGTACATCTTAATGTATGCGACCTCAAGTTTAATCTCGGACTATTGATTTCTGATCTATTCCTTTGTTTCATGCCCTGTTAGTTCTCAACTATACTACGACTTTTAATCCACTTTACTACTGTAAAATTTTTTTGATGCATTTTCGCCTCGAGCAGGGTTCAAATGTTGTCTTTAACCATTTAAATGAAGAAAGATTTCTACCGGCGGCATGTTTGCTTTAAGTGTACAGATTTTTCTGTACTGTCAGAGGAAAACGAAAATGGAGCTACTGATGCAGAATGAAAATATACTTATTTAGTTCTTCTTTTTTTTATCATTACAATACACAACACAACAAGGAAAACGAACAAAATTCAGTGTGCAGTATTTCTGACGAGCACCTCATCGACAAGAAAGGGATCTCGAAAAGAAGTACATTATCTTCGTCTGAGGTAAGACGCCTACCTTGCGTCGTTATTCAAGTATTCCTTTCAATGATATCAGAAAGCAAAGTGTAAAGCTGAGAAGAACGGTTTCAGTGGTAGCTAAAAAGCTTCATCAATTTTTTTAAAAAGTAGAATGATTTAGAATAAAGCTTGCTTGATTCCAAATAATCCCTAATCCTAGAGTTAATCAAAAGTTTTTGTGAGTTTAATAGTCTTGTAAAACAAAGTGTAATCACTCAGGTGAATCCACTATTACTTCTTCTTTTTTGTGTAAAATGGGGTACAAATACAATTTACGTAGGTTTCTTTTTCCAATATAATATCTGAATAAGTGGACACTTGTGCAGTTAATTCATCATGCTGAAACAAAAGTCGTATATTGGAACAGTTTTCCTCTTAAATTTGTTATAAAAGGCGTTATACACTGAACCAGTAGCATTCGAAACTTGAGAGCAATAATGAAGCGTGTAGCTCAAGGAATTGTCGTCCTCCTCGCGGTTTTTGCTGTTATATACGCAGAAACGTCTGAAAATGTTGCTTCCGATGAAAGTATTCTTAACTCGCCCAAAACCAACGATGAAAACGTAGCTGCAACTCCAGCGGAGGATAAAAAAGAAGACGAGGCTGTCGCTCTTAGAGAAGCAGACGAAGGTAAGAGCGTCTAGTTAAAATTATCATGAACATTACCAATTAAAGTAATCTAATGATGCACATATGATGAAATCGTTAGATTCACAAGATTCACAGAGATTTCCGTATCATTGCTTACTTACTTACTTGAGGAAATATTTGTGTGAATTTCTGGTATCTTCTTAAAGGTAATGAGCTACGGATTGATAGGTGTAAAACAGTGATAGAGATGCATGCCCAGCTATGCCCATTAGCGGTTCTACTTTTTTACTACGGTAAGAATAATATTCAGACGGTACAATTTTTCTCTAAAAGACGGAGATGAAGATGCTGAAGATGAAGAATTTGAAGATGAAGATGCAGAAGACGAAAATGCTCAAGACGAGGAAGATGAAGAACAAGAGGAATATCCGGAAGATGAAGACATTCCTGAAGATGAAGTAGCCGAAGCTGATGAGCAAAGCGACCCACTGACAGGTAAAAGCGCTTTCGCTCATCCCATCGCCAATTGATTGCAAAATTCTCGTCTTTAGTAATGATGAGCTTTTTGAGGAGTCAAAAATTGTTCTGCTTACACAGTCCGTGGAACAGCTTTTGGAAGCTTTTGTAGTTTAGTTTGGCTAAACAAGAAAAAAAAAGAGAGAGTATTTAGCTGTTTTATGTTCATGCATTGGAATGGATGTAGATTCCATACACGGCACGACTCCCGCTCTATTAAGGAATTTGCGCGTACCAAACACGAGTAGGTATTAACTTCGCCAACAGGCCAGTAGGAGGAAGAAAATCAGCCTGAAATTGCATTATTTAGATTACTGGCACAATGATAGGACAAACAGATCATATTGGAGTCTGTGAGACGTCCTTTTTTACCATAAGCAATCGCTGCTTCTATTCAAACGTGAGCTTTTTTGTTTCAGAAGAGGATAGCGAAGATTATGAAGAGAAAGAAACACAAGAAGATTATCCCGATGAAGGTGATGCCGCTGACGAGGAAGACACCAAAAAAGAAAGTGATTCAGGTATTATGACATTGAACAAGTAATAATGAACAACAGGAACGTTTTTGTGCACTCGAGAGAAGACAGTTAGGAGTTGTGTTTTGATCAGGAGATATATAATCCTGGCATTTGCACATCTGGCCACGTTCGTATGCAATACAACTGAAACATTTTGGAAGAATTAGCATTGTACAAACCTGGCGATCGTTTCACGGCAAACGCGAATAAGACAAACAAAACTCTCTTTGCAAAGGTATTGTAACTCCGAAATCTCTTGATCAGCTGTTTCCAGCACTATNAAGATGCAGAAGACGAAAATGCTCAAGACGAGGAAGATGAAGAACAAGAGGAATATCCGGAAGATGAAGACATTCCTGAAGATGAAGTAGCCGAAGCTGATGAGCAAAGCGACCCACTGACAGGTAAAAGCGCTTTCGCTCATCCCATCGCCAATTGATTGCAAAATTCTCGTCTTTAGTAATGATGAGCTTTTTGAGGAGTCAAAAATTGTTCTGCTTACACAGTCCGTGGAACAGCTTTTGGAAGCTTTTGTAGTTTAGTTTGGCTAAACAAGAAAAAAAAAGAGAGAGTATTTAGCTGTTTTATGTTCATGCATTGGAATGGATGTAGATTCCATACACGGCACGACTCCCGCTCTATTAAGGAATTTGCGCGTACCAAACACGAGTAGGTATTAACTTCGCCAACAGGCCAGTAGGAGGAAGAAAATCAGCCTGAAATTGCATTATTTAGATTACTGGCACAATGATAGGACAAACAGATCATATTGGAGTCTGTGAGACGTCCTTTTTTACCATAAGCAATCGCTGCTTCTATTCAAACGTGAGCTTTTTTGTTTCAGAAGAGGATAGCGAAGATTATGAAGAGAAAGAAACACAAGAAGATTATCCCGATGAAGGTGATGCCGCTGACGAGGAAGACACCAAAAAAGAAAGTGATTCAGGTATTATGACATTGAACAAGTAATAATGAACAACAGGAACGTTTTTGTGCACTCGAGAGAAGACAGCTAGGAGTTGTGTTTTGATCAGGAGATATATAATCCTGGCATTTGCACATCTGGCCACGTTCGTATGCAATACAACTGAAACATTTTGGAAGAATTAGCATTGTACAAACCTGGCGATCGTTTCACGGCAAACGCGAATAAGACAAACAAAACTCTCTTTGCAAAGGTATTGTAACTCCGAAATCTCTTGATCAGCTGTTTCCAGCACTATGTCAGTCGCCAGTGACGCATCTTACAACCTTGCAATATGTAGCAAGGGAAAAAGTGCCTGACCGTTGCTCCTATCAGTAACTAAAAGCTTTAATCTTTTCTCTACTGGAAATTGGCCTGGAAAGATTACTAAAAGATTACTAAAAAAGACTGAAAGCTAATTTAAGTTTATAGTAAAACCTTCAACAAAAGAGAAGAGCAGGCCGATTTGTAGTGCCTTTAGATAAAACCTGTCGGTTCGCGGTTTAAATGTCATTAATTAAGTGAAAATACCGAAAGAAAGTTCACGTAGTTATAAAACAAGGTTCTGTTAATTGAAAGTTCTTTGCGCCCGTCTTATGGCACCTATTTAACCCTAATTTTGTCTCTCCTTCATATGATGTAAAATAACGCTTTTGTCTAATTGTGAATGAAACACTTTTATATAGCCAAAGTATGATGATCGACTGGGCAATTCTTTGCATCACGCATATAAAATTAAAAGCTTTTTATTTTAATTACCCTTTCAGGTTTGGAATCCCAGCAAGAAACCTGGCCCGTGCCTGTGGGTTGTCGCAGGCTCAATCCAGTGAGCCAAAAGTGCTGCTATGGAAGGGTTATCTCCAAGTTCCGACCATGCATTCGCCCCAAATGTGGCTTTTTGTACTACAACCCTCTGAACCAGAAGTGCTGCTTTGGAAGGGTCATCTCCAAGTTCCGACCATGCATTATTCGCCCCAAATGCGGTCTTGTATACTACAACCCACTGAGCCAAAAGTGCTGCTATGGAAGGGTTATCTCAAAGTTCCGACGATGCATTCGCCCCAAATGCGGTCTTGTATACTACAACCCACTGAGCCAAAAGTGCTGCTATGGAAGGGTTATCTCAAAGTTCCGACGATGCATTCGCCCCAAATGCGGTCTTGTATACTACAACCCACTGAGCCAGAAGTGCTGCTTTGGAAGGGTCGTCTCCAAGTTCCAGCCATGCGTTCGCCCCAAATGTGGCTTTTTGTACTACAACCCACTGAGCCAAAAGTGCTGCTTTGGAAGAGTCGTCTCCAAGTTCCAGCCATGCGTTCGCCCTAAATGCGGCCTTGTATACTACAACCCACTGAGCCAAAAGTGCTGCTATGGAAGGGTTATCTACAAGTTGCAGCAATGCGTTCGCCCTAAATGCGGCCTTGTATACTACAACTCACTGAGCCAAAAGTGCTGCTATGGAAGGGTTATCCCAAAGTTCCGACCATGCGTTCGCCCCAAATGTGGCTTCTTGTACTACAACCCACTGAGCCAGAGGTGCTGCTATGGAACGGTTGTCTCAAAGTTTGTAGTATGCAAACCTCGCGCCAGATGTGGAAAATATTTTTATTCCCCTCTGATTCAGAAATGCTGCTCTTACCCGATACGTGTTGTGCCCAAGTTGGCCTCATGCTACATTAAAGGTTAGCAGTCTGAATACGATGCAAAGAGGACTTTGCACGAACATTTCAGGCGAAAAATAGAACATACAATTTTCAAATACTATCGATAAATAAGTTACTTTTTTGTCCGTTTATTTATAACTTTTACAATGCTAGTGGTAAAAGCTTTTTTTAGTCTTAAGATCTTCTGGCGTTTTACATTATGCTGACGTGTAAGGGCTTTGACTGTGGTAATAATTAAAAGAGTTATTAAAGGTGTTAAAAGTGTTATTATTCTGGCGTAAGAATCTCTGACGATCATTACTGATCTTCGATAGCCGTTTCGATGTTAACAAAGTTTTAACTAATGCTATACGAACGTTATGGAGATATTTTTGGACGATAATTTGGGCGTGAAAAATGCAGTAAAATTTGAGCGAAGGCAAACTAGTTGCTATCTTGATATAGAAACCGAAAGACTTTGGAGATGCAGTTTTCCTTCACAGTAATTTCATTCGATTTGCAAATGCTCGAGGTTCTCTGGTTGGGTTTTTGGAAAAGAATGTGATCTACCCCTAAAAGTGTTAATGATTTGAAAATCGCCCGAAGACTTTTGATAAGTTGGACATCTTGGGCTATCATCCTTTTATCATCCCTGACGCAATTTGTCCAGACCTAAGTACGTACAGCTATAATGACGGGATCCCGTCTAACTGGGGGATGAAGATTTTCAGTGTACCTACACTCGCCGAGCCAGCCGTAAACCAAACCAACAACAGGACAGCGGATAACACACTATTCATGGGGACTGCTTCCAATCTATTTGTAAACATGGTCGGGTTTCTGCTCGCCTCTTTCAATGCTGCCATAAAATTCACCTTAGCAATTAAGTTAGCCAGCTCGGCAAATAAAACCTGCACAGCTCATGTAATCACCGGCCAGACAGGTTTGGATTCTACATTTCAAGCCGTGGATTTTGGATTCCAGGTACTGGATTCCAGTGTTTGTCAGTGGAACTTGGATCAGTCTAGATTCCAATAGTTAGTGGGATTCCAGATTCCTTGAGCTGTATTCCGGATTCTAAAGCCCAGTAGTCCGGATTCCACCAGTAAAATTTACCCAAATCACGGATTTCCCAAGCAAAATTTTCCCGGTTTCTGAAATCCAGGATTCCCTTTTATTGGATGACATGTCATCAGGACAATGAAAACTTGTAAGGTAATGGAAAAAAATGCGCTAAAATTTTGTCTCAAACTTCGTGTTTTGGGTCAGATTCTTTACCTGGTAAGTTGTGAGTATTTCTCCAAGTTTTATTTTCACGTAAAAAGCATGTGTATTATAGACCGATCTAAATAGCGTCTTTTTAACCACTGCCATTCTCACTTAATCCTATTTTCTATCACCTTTAGCATGGCTTCCTGCGGGGCAAATCTATAGCACCACAACCACTGGAGGTTTGCTATGTAAATTTTGCTGGACTTGCTGGCTAGAGCGAGAGGAAGTGGATACCACCTAAATGGTATCCAGCCAAGAGATGTCTTGCTTCATTCTATGTTCCTTTGGGCTTCCAGTGTTGTAAACAACAAATAATTCTCGCATTCATCCAGTGTGGCTACGAGCTATCCTCTGGTGTTTAGAGAACACAACTTGTTTCATTTTTTAGATCATCCATTTTACTAAGAGAATTTCCTGCGCTTTGCCTGTTATTAAAGAATCTGAATCTCGCTTTTTGCCAGCATGTCTAGAATAAGATTTGGGGAATGCATCTAAGGGCCTCTTCACATGAGTTCGGTCGACCGGGCTGGCCCGCTTACCACACACTGACCACAAGGACCAATTTCACCTTGGGTTTATATGAGAAATTTCAGCTCGGTTTCGGAGGTGAGAAAAGGCCGAAGACGATCGAGAGTTGTGGCACGAAATTCGAGAACTAAACGAACGTGCCGAAACACAAAGTTATAACTTTCGCGCCTATTATAGCTTTGGGAACTCTTATAGCTGTATCACTGTTGTGAAACGGGATGCTTATGATGTCAAGAGATGATGTGGAAAATACAACAGAAAACAGGCCCGTAGGGAGAGCGTCGCATCCCCCCCCCCCCACACATGGCCCATAGGTTCACTTTTCAGTTTATCAACGATCTAAAACAAAGTGACATTACTTATTTGTAAAAGCGGCTTAACAACCTTAAGGGTTTGTTTTTCATAATTTCCTGATTTTTTGTTATTTTAGTAGTGAATATATCTGTGTGGATTTCATACAGGGTGCCTGTACTCGGTCTCTAGACAGCCAAGTCCAAGGAGCAAATACTCACCTTCCCCACCCATGACACTTATGACTATTCAATCACTCCCCACAAGCTCTGCTAGCAGTGTTATAATTATGAGTCACAGCATTGATTTGGCTGGGCTAGCCCGAAGGAAAAATTCCTTGACTTTGCACTGCTTTCTGACAAGAAACTCTAATCAAAGCGACAAAATTTCGTCTCCCTAACCCCCTAGTTTTGACACAAAACAAGAAAGCCACCCACCCACGGATAGATCTGGGCCTGGGCTCTCTACTGACACCTAGCACGACAGCAAGCCTTCCGTTTTTTTTCGGCAACACTGGCTTGAACACGGGCGAATAATACACGGATCTACAACTTTCTTTCTTTTCTTTTTCTTTTTAAATAGTGACATTGACATCTGCCATTCTCAAAAACAAGAGAGAATGATCTCTCTTGTCAAAAATTGTAAAAGAAAGTATTCTTTTTGCAAAAAAAGCTAAAACGGAAATCAATTTGAAGTTGAAATTGAGAAATATCCACATTCTTAATGCAGTCACTGACAACCGAATTTTACCCCTAGGGAGTTGCGCCTCCGGCCTCTTTTGGTCCGTCTCCTTGTTGAATCGCACCCACCAGTAAAAAGTCCTGACTACGGGCCTGGACAAAGCAAGCTTAAGACGATGCAGAATTCATTCGAAGAATTCATCCCGCTTTCATTCGGGTAACCGGGCTGAAGTGTTCATATGGAAAAATTTTCCGGCCCACTTACCGAGATCTCGGGAACCGAGCCAGCCTGCCCTCTCATATGAACACATCAAAGAATTCAGAGGTAAGGCGAGATCTCGGAAACCGGGCTCATATGAAGAGGCCCTAAGAAGGGCACGAAACGAAAGAGTGTAAAAAATATCAAGCGTTCAAGGGCGAAGTGCGAAAATTATAGTAGCCAAAAATCAGTACCAAAATTATTATACTAATAGTTAGTGCTCTCTGATGAAATTTGTTTGATATCTCCTTCATAACTCGGCTACAGGAACATTTTGACTTCATTCTCTTGAGGACTGTAGTTAATTTCTTGCTTGTGATTGCCTGCTAAGAAATGTTTTCCTACCTTACCACACGTCGTCTTAAAAAACAGGTTCGGCTTTTTTTCTTTCTGTCTTCTCGACTCTGTACTTCTCTTGTATTTTTTGTCAACTGATCCAGAGCAGCTACAGTGGATCCTCGATATAACAAAGAGCCAATTGGAACTGGCAAACTTTGTTCGCTATAACGAGGTTTCGTTAAAAAAATAAATCGAGGTTCTTTCCTATTTGTTTTACTATTACTGGTGCGAAGAATATCGTTTCGTAGTAAAATCCAACTAGCGGTCTATTATCAATGCTGCATTCTGATTGGCTGAGTTACTACTAAGGCTATATGTTATAGCCCACTAGTAGCGAAAAGCGCTAGCTTTGAAAACCAAAACAATGGCGGCTGAATCGCATTTCGCTAGCTAAAGCTGTTTTGCCTCGATATTTTTAACCAACTAGTTGGATTTTACTAAAACAATTATTCCTCTTGCCCTCATGGCCTCTGAGTCAGAGCCCATTCGGGCTTGAGGAATAATTGTTAATTATACCGAGGAATTTGTTATATAGAGGTTATATCCAGGTTTCACTGTATTCTTATATTTCAATCAATTTTGTGATCGTTTGGCACAGTGCTAATTTTCCTAAAATATCCGAGTAAGTTGACCCATTTCAGTACTCAGTTACTCAGTCAAGCGACAAAAAGGAAATGACAGGGCACTATTTTTACGATTTTCCACTTAAAATTAAGGCCAAAAAATGTCGTCTCATCTCCTTAGAAACAGTGTAACTTAACCTTTCAGTTTATGATTCACTCGGCCCGAAGTTATGCCTAAGTAAGCTTGAACTAAAAAACCAATATTAAAGGTTTCAAGGAGCCTTACATATGAAAGGGGGCCAACATAGACTGGGATGAACTTCAGTTAGAGAATTTGGCATGGCAACAAGCTATAATTGAGCGTTTCTTTTGTGGAAGCTCCTCTCGGCTGTATAAACTTTTACTCTAAATGACCTGAATATCTTGTCTTACGCATATTCAGGCTATTACCAGTTGGATAATACTACTTTGAACGTCAGTAGTTTTCAAGTGCCTACTTCTTGTTTCAGACTTAAAGGTATTAGAAAACTGTATTTCAATATAACTTCTGAAACCTCAATGCTATAATGGATGCCTTCTCAAATTAGTTACTGCATTTATTGAGTAGCGCTAAAAGCGGGGAGCTGAAAGAATAATGAAAAGTTATAATTTCTAACGTTCCAATTACGTGACTAAATTAAGGTTTCAGGTGCCCTTTCAGCAAATCGATGACCAAATATATTTCTAAGTAGGTACAGTAAAATAACAAGGACCGCGGAGTTAAGAATAAAACAATATTAACGATTTATTTTGTGCTTGCCTGTGTAGCGGACATTGACTCCTACCTTTTAGCGTTAGGTTTACGAATACAGTCATCCGGCCACAAATATCTTTTATTTTGATGACAATTTTATCTGCCCCGTACAACTGAATCAATAGTGCAAGTAGATAAGGTTTATGAACATTTTAACTTTTGAGATTAAAGACGCTTCTCAATGATTCTACTGCAAAGAGACTCGATGGTTGACAAAGTAATATTTTCATCATTTTATGAAGGTTAAATCGCATCAACTGATTCATATGAAGGAAGGATAGGGAATCAATATTGTTACAATTAACGTTTCCTTTTCTATTTACATGTACTATATCTTGAGGACGTTATAAATTGTGGAATGCTGCCTAAGTTTTTTTAACTTTTTGATAACTTTAGTAGATGTAGGGTCTTTCCTTCATACAGGTTAAAGAAGAAAAAAATGAAAAACGGCCAGTCCGTCTTCTTGAATACAAACTGTGATCATTCATCCTCCCATATATTGACCATTTAAGTAAGCACTCTTTTCACACTTGATATCTGCTGTAAGCCTCATAAGTAGTTGCTCACACCTGAGAGGCAATTACACTTTAAAAAGGACAATTCAACTAGTAATTTGGAATTTGCTTCCGCTTTGCTTTGTTAGAAAAGGCCTGTTTCACAAACAGAAACGGCATTATAGCTGCAGCCAGCATGAAGGGTGTTACTCGAGGAATTATACTCGTTCTTCTCGCGGTTTTTGCTGTTATAAAAGCAGAAACATTGGCTGAGGAGAGTGTTGCACCTCATGAAAACACTCTCATTGGGATCAATAATGCTGAAGTTGTAGCTGAAAATCCTGTAGAAGATGACAGGGAAGATGAAAGGATCCCCACGCAAGAGGACAAAGGTATAACCTTACGAACTTGACCATTTCAGGACAACGTTTTGTTAGATAATTTCTCACACTTGCAGGCACTGCAATTCACTTCTGCTTCAACCTGGTCTTCTAGTCATATTAATTCCTGGTGTCCTCTTAGTTACAAGAAGGTTTTTTTTTATAGTTTAGATTGAACATTCAAAGAAAAAGAATACTGCTTTCTGTAACGGAGAAATAACACATCGCAAACCTTTTTTGTTCAAATAGTCCAGACAATAAGCATGAATAACAACTGAGAAGCAAGTGACTTTTCCATCGAAAAAAGCAACCAAAATGTCCACAAAGTTTTGGCAAGCGTCTTCGTGTCGGCTTTTAATTTTCCGAACAGAAAAAAGTCCTTTATTGGACTCGCTAATGTAGCCTCTGCATGGGCCTTATAAAATTAAACCGTGAGAACAAAAGTTCAATCACTCTTAAATAGTTCAGTACAAATTCAATAAATCTACTTGTTGAGGTGGTTTTTCCCCGTATGATCAGTTCATTGACTAATCAATATTCGGTTTGTTGAATTTTTGTTTTAATTACTTTCTATCATTCAGAAACTGACGAGGAAAATTGGGAAACACAACAAGATCAATTCAACGAAGAAGCAGCTGGCGAGGAAAATGCTGACTCTGACGAGGAAAACAACTTACTCACAGGTATTAGTTGAGCAAAAGTACAGTATTCTTAATTTCTATTTGTTCCCACTAAATCAAAACTTCCAGATCCCCAATAATTACATGGTATCTGCCCCCTCTCGATTAAAAGATGGTTGCGATTGTAGAACATAAAAGGCTCCTCTATGCCTCTAGTGAACTAGTCTTATTCCTCCAATTTTAGGTCTGAAGTTTTTGCGGGAATTTGAGCAAAAGCTGCACATACACTGAAGAAGTTTAACAGGCTTGATTCGGGAGGGCTGCCCTTATTAATGTGTGCATTTTTGGGAGTTTAAGTAGCTCTCTTATTATTTTATAAACTGTTTACTGATGACCCATTTACAGAAGCCCAGGATGAAGATGAAGAAGTTTATGACGAAGAAGAGGAGGACGAAGCAGGACAGGATGAAGAAGATTATGAGGAAGAACGAGCTGCTGACGCTGATGACGAAAACAGCCCTCTCATGGGTAAGTCAGAAAAGTAGTTGTACTCAGTACGCTTCATACCGTACATACCTTGCCGTACATTTTGTGGGTAACTCAAATCAAACAAAACAATAATGGCTTTTATTTACTCTGAGTTTGCTGATATATATTTATACACTGAAGAGATGTCAGACCTTTTTAATGTGTGCATTCATTTTTCTGAGTTGAAATAGCTCTCTTATGATTTTATTACCTGTTTACTGATGACCCATTTACAGAAGCCCAGGATGAAGATGAAGAAGTTTATGACGAAGAAAAGGAGGACGAAGCAGGACAGGATGAAAAAGATTATGAGGAAGAACAAGCTGCTGACGCTGATGACGAAAACAGCCCCCTCATGGGTAGGTTAGAAGAGTAGTTGTACTCAGTACGCTTCATTACCTAACGTACATCCCTTGAGGTACATTTTGTTGGTATCGTATTTCCTACAATAATAGCCGGGGGCCATTATTTCTTTTTCCGCACAAAAAGGGGGCGATTATTCGACGGAAGGCGATTATTTGAGGGAGGTGATTATTTCAAATATTGCTCACTGGAAATCGTGCCCTAAATATTTTTTTTTATCATGCCATTAAATCAGAAAATAATCACATCAAATTAATATATAACTGAACATAGGCTTTTTAGGTGTTCCAAATTTAGTTCCCTGATTCATTTTCATAGCTTGAAACGTCACTGATCAGTTTTGCTGGATCACATTGCACTTACACTTGACAGGGGGGAGGGCGATTATTCGAGGGAGGCGCTTATTTTAAATATTTCCGTTCAAAGGGGGCGATTATTCGACTGAGGGAGGCGATTAATCGAAGGCCGGCTATTATTTGAGGAACGGTAACTTAAAGCAAATAAAACAATAATAGCTTTTATTTACTCTCAGTTTATACTAAAGAGGTGTCATGTCCTTACATGGTATATGGTTCAAACATTTCAATTATGAGATAAGATTCGGCCAAATGAGTTAAATCTGTTAAGTTTCAATTTTGAAAAAAAAAACTTCTTTATTCAGTATATATAGTGACTAGAAGAGCCAGATTGTATAGCCAAAACTCTCTCCTACTACAAAAGACATCATATACTTTATGAGTTTAAGATTTCTTTATGTTTTACTTTCGACTTTCAAATCCTTTTTGTTGCTACCACCCGCTATCTACATGAACCAAGTGGTGCAAAAAATTAACTGCTTTCGAATTTTGCTTTTTTCAATTGACCCTATTTCTTTACAGAATCCAGCGAGGAAGCTGATGAAAATGTGCTAAAAAGCAACACGCCAGTTGCGTCACGCTGTGGTATATACAACCGAATCACCCAAAAGTGCTGTTTCGGACGTAAAATACCCAAATTTCTCCCCTGCCGTCCTCGACCGAGATGCGGTTTAGCCTTCTACAACCCACGGACCCAAAAGTGCTGTAACCTTAGAGTGATCTCCCGGTTTGTCCCCTGCCGTCCTCGACTGAGATGCGGTTTAGCCTATTACAACCCACGGACCCAAAAGTGCTGTAACCGTAGAGTGATCTCCAAGTTTGTCCCCTGCCGTCTTCGACTGAGATGCGGTTTTGCCTACTACAACCCACGGACCCAAAAGTGCTGTAACCGTAGAGTGATCTCCAAGTTTGTCCCCTGCCGTCTTCGACTGAGATGCGGTTTTGCCTACTACAACCCACGGACCCATAAGTGCTGTNAGCGAGGAAGCTGATGAAAATGTGCTAAAAAGCAACACGCCAGTTGCGTCACGCTGTGGTATATACAACCGAATCACCCAAAAGTGCTGTTTCGGACGTAAAATACCCAAATTTCTCCCCTGCCGTCCTCGACCGAGATGCGGTTTAGCCTTCTACAACCCACGGACCCAAAAGTGCTGTAACCTTAGAGTGATCTCCCGGTTTGTCCCCTGCCGTCCTCGACTGAGATGCGGTTTAGCCTATTACAACCCACGGACCCAAAAGTGCTGTAACCGTAGAGTGATCTCCAAGTTTGTCCCCTGCCGTCTTCGACTGAGATGCGGTTTTGCCTACTACAACCCACGGACCCAAAAGTGCTGTAACCGTAGAGTGATCTCCAAGTTTGTCTCCTGCCGTCTTCGACTGAGATGCGGTTTTGCCTACTACAACCCACGGACCCATAAGTGCTGTTATAGGCCCACACATGTTGTACTTAAGTACGCCTCATGCCGTCGACGCGGTTAGAACATTACTGATCCTAGAGCAAAGAAAACGCAAAGAAGTAAAGCAAATCGGATGAACTGATACCAAGTTAATCTTTTCTTGAATTTTCGTTTGGTTGTCAATAAAATTTCCTTGATAGGTAAAAAGATATGGCGTTGTGATTATTCTTGTTCAAACAAATTTTAGTTCTCTCAAAATTACAGGAAAAAAAGAAGTATTTCGATATGGTGATGCCCTGGGGGACATTCAAGGGATGTTAATGTACCACCGAGGCCATCAAGCGCTAACCCTGATTAAGACATCCAAAAAAATCGTTCATTTCGCGACACTTTTATGACAAGACTCCTTATTTTATGACCCGGATTCATTTCTTTTCGTATGGCAAAATTTAATAACGTTTTAAATCAGGGGGATTGCATCATGGAATTTTTTTGTGAAAAAAAAATGAAGACAGTATATACTGAAGACCTCTTACAGCCTATCTTCACACTCTTGTAAAGGCTGTCGGTCCAAAAATGATACGGCCTGTTTAAGGCTCCAAAAAGTGAAATAAAATTATGTTCCCAGTTTAAGACTCAAGACCCTAAAAAATATATCTTGTTCAGATGCACATACCAGTTTAGGCCAAAAAGATGTCCCCCTGGGGTGGGGCATTGACGCTACAAACACTTTTGGCTGTTTTTGTTCAGTATGTCAAAAAGTCAGGGGCGCAGGCAGGCATTTTTTTTCGTTTAAGCCCAGGAGGGAAACGTTGAAACTGAAAAAAAATCACGAAATTCAGTACAAGGAAAAGTATTTTTTAGCGCAAAAAGCTCAAAAATAGATTAACCTACCCGTTTCGTGTAAACTTGGCTCGAAAAGCCTCAAATGCGCCTTCTTTTGATGCTTCTTTGACAGCCGTACGAGAAGAATGTACCGCCATCTTGTTTAGTTCGCACGCTTCCAGAGGAAAACCGCTGTCCGCAAATTGAGGACTTGTGTTTTTTCTTAGTAACCGACCCAGATCCTTTCTCGGTCAAAGGGAGTCAACTTATGGTAAAAACGCAAACTTTGGCAAGCCATAAATCGTTTGGACATGTTTCATAGGAAACAAAACTACATTTTTTGAATATAAGGCACCATAAGCTATAACCTGGCTAAAAAGTATCCAGATCTCAAAACATGAAATTTGGATCAATACCAAAGTAGTATACCTTTTTAAAATGCGCGTTTTGAACACATGAAAAAACGAGGCAGAGGGCCTAGGATGGACTTTCTTTCTGATCACTGTTGCGCTACTGAATTTTTATTTCTTGTTTACTTTACGATTTATTCTTACATTTCTTTTCTTTTAAAAAGTCACATTGAAATCACAAGAACACTGATTTTGTTCTTTTTAAGTATTTTATCAATTAAAGAACTGCATACTATCACGAAAGAATGACTCAATAATGCCGTATATGAGAGACAAGAACATCGTCGTTAATGTTGAACTTCTACCGAATGACATACTTTTCCGATAATAATCGATAAAAATTGAGAAATCAATCATTGAAGATTTCTATCGGAAAATGATACCCATCGAAGATTAATAACGATTACTAATTATCCGTCTATCGATTAACTACGCCTGAAAAACTTAATTGTGGAGGCTGCGAAAATCTAAAAATTTTGTAAAATGATAAATGCTGTTATCATATATGGCATTCAACTGGCATTGCGTAACGCTCGACTAAAATACGCTGGAAACCGAAATGTAGGTATTTGATTGAGCCTGTGAGCCTGATTTTTAGCAAACATATTAAGCACCAAAGTGAAAGAAAACGCCAGCATATAAAGTAGTTATAGGAGTGAATTGAAAAAATTGAAAAAAATAATAATTTAATTAAACGATTTTTTTTCTCCAAGTTAGCAAAGATAAGAGGTATTTTCTCCTACTTTTCCTTTCGCAGTTGTATTTTCGGTCTTATATTGGATGCCTGAAACTTGTCCTTCGAGCTTATTTTCAGTCAAATATAAATGGCTTATGATTTTCGGTTGGTAAACGTTTAGAAGTTAAAGAGGCACCCTCCTTCATTTCAGGCTTCTCTTTTTCTCTTTTGTTCTTTGACAACTGATTTGTGGCAGTTATTTTTATTGTGATCGTTCGGTTAGCTAATTTTTTAAAAAAATATTTGAGTACTGTATTTATTCGAATAAGCGCCCAACCTCGAATTAGCGCCCACCTCGAATAAGCGGCCATCCTAAAGGCAAAAAAGTTGATAAGCGCCCAGCCTCGAATAAGCCCTCACCCCACCCCCTCCCCCTCCTTACTAAACTCAAATAAGCGCCCAACCTCACCCCACCCACTTGAGTGACAATGAGATTGAAATTGAAATTAAATAAGGACCGTAATAAGAGACTTTCCCGAAGACGGAGTTTTCTTCAGAGTATTTTACAGAAATCTTTCTTTGTTATTTCTTCGCGTTTTGTTATTAGCATTTACTCTTTTGTTGCAAAATAAATATACTACACTTGCTGAAAATAGTGAAAATTTAATAAGCGCCCAGCCTCGAATAAGCGCCCGCCTCAAATAAGCGCCCACTCTCAAGGTCCAAAAATTTAATAAGCGCCCAGGGCGGTTAATCGAATAAATACGGTAAGTTGACCCATTTCAACACTCAGTTACCCAGTCAAGCGACAAAAAGGAAATGACCCGGCACTTTTTCTTTTTCAATTTTTCCCTAAAAAGTTCTCCAAGGTCATTTAGCCGAAAAAATGTAGTCTCATTTCTTTAGAAACCATCGTTGACCTTTCACTTTGTTACTCACTCGGCCCAACGTTATCTCTAAGTAACTGACCTATGAAATAAACGTTACAGGTTACATTATTTAGTCTTACGTGTGGGAGGCCAGCATAGACTGGAATAAACTTCCGTTTTGGGAAGCTGGCATAGCAACAAGCTATTTTGTCTATGAGCACTTCTTTTGTAGAAGCTCCTTCAGCTGTATACACTTGTAATAATATCTTAACTAACGCCTATTTAGGCTATTAGCAATCGGATAAGATTACGTTGAGCGTGAGCAGTTTTTAAGTGCCCACTTCTTGTTTCAGACGTAAAGGTACTAGAAAACTATATCTCAATATAATGTCTGAAACCTCATAAAACTAACGCTTTCAGTTTGGCCCTCTTGAGTTTAGATGTACAACATAAATGATCATCATTTTTAAATGAAAAAAGAGGCGAACACGTCAGTGCATGGAGATGTTGAAAAACTAATCACCGTAATCATAGATTATCACACTGTTCTATCATAACCCATGGATTGGGAAACCATTATTGAAAAACCAATTTAATGATCATTTTTCCTTGAAATCATGCATGAAATGAAATCTCAGTTACTCGAGCAGGCAATATTAAAAATAAATATATAGATTTAGCCAGGGCTAAAAGCGAAGCTCCCATTAATAAATTAATGATTTAAATCAAACAATAAACTTGTAATCCACAAATCAGTTAACTTAAGGGCACATATGTGACTTTTTAGGGAAAGCTAAGTCTAAGCGATTTTAGAGTGAAAAAAAATCTTACATCGAATTGATAGCCGGTATATATACACCCAAAAAATAGCAATCATCGTCGATCACATTTAAGAGCCATAATAGCTCTTGATCACAGTAGATTAGGCCTGGAAAACGAATTCATGGAAAAAACAAATCAGGCCGAATATTTCACGTTCGACAAGTTAACTTAACAAAATCTTGCCAACAACTCTGGGTGCGTGTAAACCAACATTTCATACTTTTTATGCATCACATCTGAGGTGAAACAGAAATATGAGGCGCTGTTTTTATCATACAGACCTCAGACAAAATGCAGTATTTCACAATTTTTCAAGACAAATTGCACTCATTCAATATTCAGAACCGTACGAAGCACGCGTGGGCTTTTAGCAAAACCGTTCAAAGAATTTCCAAAATCACCTATACGGCCAGCCGGTTGTCACTTTTGACAAGCGCCAAATCTTCGGTGAACATTAAAAGAGTTACGCTTCAACATAATAAAGAATTTAGTGTTTATTTTTTTTATTTAATGGTTTTATAACGATGTGTAATCTTAAAAAGCGTTTGATACGCGCAGCATTTTGAGTACTCCTGCAAGCGTTGTCTATGAACGACTGAAAACAAACAGCAAAGCGATTAAAATTGCAAGAGACTACTCACAATCAATAAAAGAAATGTAATTCGGTGAAACATTTACAGAGACAACAATTTTCATTCACGAAGACAAGTATTAAAGCGTCTCTAAAAATCCTGAGTCTTTACGCTTAAGCCTAAAGCTTTTAGCCGGCTTCCTGGTGTTTACTGTTTTCAGAGATGAACTCGAGGCAAGAAAATCGCTCAAAGCTTTCTTTCTACAGCCAAAATTATAACTAAATACTCTTCAGAACGTTTTTTCATTCTATATGCGGAGAGAAAATATCGACTAAAGGCTTTTTAAAGCTCTGTAAGCTTATATATACTAGATCAGATCATTGTCTCAGATCTTAATACAAACGTGCATAAATTAGCCTCATAAACTGCGCTCGACTTCATGAAATTAGATATAAAGAAACAAACATACACTGTATACAATAATTACTCAGGCTTACCATTCGATATGCAGCTCTTGAAAGCTATCAAGTAAGGCCAGAATCGCTTGAGGGACTTTTCAACCCCGCATCCAGCAAAGTGAAAAACGAAAACGATGCATCCGAAATCGGATTTCCAACTTTGACAACCGGCGCATTTCCCAACCAAAAATTCAATAAACAAACCAGCCATGAATCAAAGAAGACTGTTGATAGCAGCTGTATTTCATTTTAAGCATCCAGTGGAAAAAGACAGTAAAAAACATCACAAGTTGACAAAATACTCTGTCAGCTTCGGCTGTCAAATTAAGCAAGGTTCAAGATGCTGTATAAATTTTCTGCATGAACTCACCTGTCAAATTTTGACCAATCAGAGCATAAAAATTGGACGGTCGTAGAGCGTGATCAACGCGTGACTATGGTGAGAAAAGTGAAAAGCCTCTGTCTTCCCTGCTTGTATTTTTAAATGACTGGCTGAATTTTCGCGTCCGAGATCAGTTTGAAATCAAAATGTTAATAACGCGGGGCCATAGTGACATTAACACAACACTTTCTGTCATCATGTCATTATTTTGCTGCCGTTCTCTTTGCCTTTGTATTTCTCTTGCGCGTTGCCTTTGTCTGTTCATTCTAGCTCTGTCTCGTTCTGCTTGCCGGCGTTTTTCACTATAATTTTCTCTCCTTCTTCTCGCTCTGACTCTTTCTACTTGCCGACTTTCTTCGCTAAAATTTGTCTTCTTCTTCTACTTCTAACGCGCTCTCATTGGCGATCGTCTTCGCTTGTTCTACGCGTGTTGAATCTTGCTCTCTGCCGTTCACCTTCTCTTTGCTCTCTGCTTAAAACCTGTCGTCTACACGCTAAAATCTCTCTGCTGTTGTTTGTTGACATAATAGCTTTCGTAAGTTGTAATGAAAAGTTATAAAGGCTCTGTCGAAAAATCTTTTTGCTAAGTTGCTTTGAAATTTCTTTTTTCAAAACCAGTTGCGCGATATAATTGCGCGACGTTGCTCCATGCGATTTCCCGCCAAAAAATCTCTACTTTCCTCTACCCCAAGAGTCCATGCGGACTACTTTCCACTACCCGGAAAGTCCGTACGGACGGACGTACGCTGACGTCATAACCAAAATTTCTCGGATGGGTAGTTTATCTTAGTTATGGTGCTCCGCTCGCGCGCGCTTCGCGCGCGCAAGGAGCTCCGCTATTAACCCTTCAAATGGCTGAACATGGTAACGGCTAAGCTAAACTTGGGCGCGACACAAATTCCTTCATTTACGAACATAGTGATAACAAAAACTGATTTAGCAGAGATTTAACGGCAAATCAGTCCGGGGTAAAAGAAGGAGTCTTTTCCTGAGTCTTGTACACATGTTCGGTATGTTAAAGACAATTAGGTAACAAGAGTTATATTTATTAGACCTTTCCATTGGACCAGTTGGAGAAAATTCGTCAAAACGGGTCAAAAGAAAGCTAGCCTTAAAATTAGTAAAGATGCCAAGTTTAGACGTGATTTGTTGAAAACTAACGAATATTCAGCCCTACAAAGTCGCCGAACTTTAGAGACGTTTGTATGGTGGGGGACCAAGTTCGTACCAACCCACCCACGCCCCCCTCGACTCACCAAACAGAAGTCTGTAAAATTTAGTGACTTTGTGAAGTAATATATCTTCGCTCGCTCTCAAGGTATCACAGTTTCCCAATTTTAAGGCGCTCTTTCCAGATGTCTTTCCAGCGGTGTCAATGATTATTCATCTTTTTATCCAAACTTGAAAAACCCGTGTAAGGGTCTATTCAATATAAGACTCATGTAATGATAACGTACTCGCCATTTAACTGAGGTATTTGTGCGCATTTTGTTATTTTCACCTTACAGTAAGCTCAGTGCAACCCCATGGCCCGATGCGGAATTGCCCTTTATATAACCTCAAAATGTCCAGTCATTCCTTCAGTTTCATATCAACGGAGTAGTTGCTCAGTGGAGCCAAAAATAGAATGTGCTCAAGCTTAGCAGCGCAGTAGAATAAGATAACGCTGAACGTAAGCAGTTTTCAAGACGTGAAGGTATTAGAAAATTCTTTTTCAATATAACGTCTGTAACCTCAAAAAAACTAACTCTTAAATAATGACCACCTCCTTCACAATGACACAGTGGTCCCGTGGGAAAGGAATTATAGATAAAAACTGTTTTTAAAGCCAGCTCACTCGTCAAGTAAGCAAGCGCGCGGTAATTAATTTTCACCTTCACGTAATTCAGAATCCTTTTTAATCAAATTGAATACTGGAATGGATGGCTTCTCAAATTGGTTAGTATTTATAGAGTAGCGCTAAAAGCGGGGGGCTGAAAGTGACGTGATAAGTTGTGATTTCTGACGTTGCAAAATAAGTGACTAAATTAAGGTTTCAGGTGCCCTTTCAGCAAGTCAGTGACTAAGTATATTTCCAAGTAAGTGTGATCAATACAACCATATTAACTATATGTTTTGTAGCGGGCATTAACCAGAATACAGTCATCTCCAAATATCATTTATTTTGGTTACAAATGAATCTATAGTGTGAATAGAACTACAGAGATCAAAGAGGCTTCTCAGTGGGACTCGATGATTGACAAATTAACATTTGGCAAAGTAGCATTTGCAGGGTTAAATCGCATCTAGTGAGTCATATAAGGGAGGGAAACGATTTATTTACAATTAACGTATTCCTTGTTGATTTTTTACACGATTAAATTTCTGCAAACGTATTATACCCTTAAGTATTTGATAGATAAAACTGTGAACAATTATATGGACTCAAACGCACGGACGCCAAATGTTACCTTTTGTTTATTTGTGTCTCTCTATGAAAATTTCCGCTCATTTTGACCGGTATAAAATCTCTTGGCCTTAAAATGTCATATCTCTAAAATGTAGTACCATTGAGAAAGAGTTGAATCGCCAGCTCAGTGATAAAACCCGCTTCGAACTCCTCAATTTATTTCCTCGCCAAACGCCAAATAACACCGTGCTTTGGACATAATTTGCATCATCTGGTTGATTTTGATTGACGGATCGAATCAGGGTAATGCGCATAGGGCTTTCCACAAGTTACTCGGCAACTTTTTGGCAACTTCTCGTATTTCGAGCAACTTTTTGCCTTTCAAGCAACCTTTTGCATTTTGAGCAATTTCTCTAGTTTTCTTCTAATTCTGAGTTGTCGGAGCAGCTTTTAGTGCTTTAATTGGCCTTTCTTCCATATTTCACAATGTTTTAGTAGACAATTTATGGATTTCCTGTAAAAAAGGAGCCAAATCATGGGCGCAAGATAAAAGTAGCCTAGCTGCCAGGTCAACGGGTTTTTAGAGAAAATTCAAAATGGTGGACGAAGATTCATACTCGACTGACTGAACTGACTTGGGTTTCTAAGGTGAAGAAAGTCATTTAACAGTTTTATTGGATCATTACATTTTTTGGTTTTAATTGAGGACAAAGTTATTTATATAGCAACGTTCGTTACGCTGCAAAATTGCACAAAAATGCTTAGAAATATTACAATTTGCATATTTTAGAATCAGACCAAAAAAAATTTAATTTGCTTTTTCGAGCAACTTTTGAGCAACTTTCGTCACAAAAAGCAACTTTTGAGCAAATTTTTGAGAAATTCCGGGAAACGTTTTGGAAAATCTCGAGCAACTTGTGGAAAGCCCTAAATGCGCATGTAGATATGACGTAATTCAAAATGGCATCGAAAATGCAGATGATATGGAGGAAAAAATACAACTTAAATGGTTATCTCTGGGAAGCCCAGAATAATCAATTACCACAGGATTCCTAAGATTAGGAGAGTTGTGTTCTCCTTCCTCGTAGATTTAAAGCTTTTTTCAGCTAGGATGGAATAATACAGTCTGGTAGAAAGTAAAATAAAATTTTGGTAGGAATTTAGATAACCAAACCAGCATTCAGTTGCTTGGTGAAGTGTTAAAGTTAAACGATATTCTGAGCTAATTTCATTATACGTCATCTTAGGTGATTAAAACCAAATAACTAAATACTGGATGTATAGCAGGCCTTATTGTGAGATATACTGGATCCCTTTACTGGCCTTTAATGTACCAATATACGATACTCTTTAACAATAACGCCGTACAGAATGTCAATTCTTCCGTTATAGTGTGGTAGATTCATACATTTCAGACCTCACTGTGTATTTTCATTTAGAAGCAATGAATGAGAAAAAACCGCTTGATAACCGTTTTTTGTTGTTGTACTTTTAATAAATCTTGGGTTTTTCGATAAAAGAGCCGGCACTAATAACATCTGTCAAATATTATAGTGCATAATCATATAAATAGTTTTACGTACACTGTTTCTATTTTTTAACCACTTGGTTTATTGACGTAAACATGAGTGGTGTGAGAAATGTACTATCAATACTAAAAATAAGACTATAACTTACTACGCTCTATAACTTATAACTAAGCTCTATTTCTGATTAATATTAGGTTCCCTGGATAGAATATCAAGTAAAAACGGCGTTTCAGTATATTCAGTTATAAGAGATTATACCCTTTAAGCGTGTTGCCATAAGCCACTTCTGCTTCCTAATAGGTTGTGATATTTCAGGTCATGTTTTATTCGGGTTCAAATGTGAAAATAGTTTTTGTCATTGCTATTTATGAAGACATTAACTAGCGACTGGAATAACTTATCTACACCAATGGCGATGATTAAATTACTTTTTATCATTATGCTTCAATGTAAAAGACTTAAGACTTTACCTTAAACCAAACTTGAACAGTCAATCTCAAACTCATTTATTTAATAATTTATAAAGAAAATACAAAGGAAATTCATGTTTAATTAATGAAACACTTCGAAGTTCGTCAAAAATACTCCGCTGCGCGTCGCGTGGTATTTTCAACTCTCTTCTCGGTGTTTTATCTGGTGATCAAACACTGCGTCTCATGTTTGATATATAGTACTTAAACGTGCTGAGGTACCCTGACGGAGATTTAAATTGTTTTGAAACCACAAAGGCTGGTGCATGACTCAGGCTTAACTCTCAATATCAGCAAATCCTACAAGTTTCATCCCAAGTACGAGAAATGACAATTTTTTATGTACTCTGAGGATTATATTAGATATCTTGGCATTTCGATCAATGAAAATTTAACCTGATTCACCTGGAAACATCATAGTGATGCTATTTATGCACTGAAAAATCAGTAAAACCGTTAACTTACTTTTTTCGTCATTGGATGTGCTGCCTGTGAACAAGCATCAACATTCTATGAATACTTTATTTCTCAAGCAGACTACTTTACTCTTGAACGTTCTATATTAGCTAATACTGTAAGCATCCTATATCTAAACTTATGCATGACCTCTTTAACAGAACTGTACTAGTTAACGTTCTAAATGTATTTCAAGAAACAAGCTTTGTCACTCTTACAACTATAGAGTATCTACTTCAGGATTTTTGTTGTCAAACGTTCCGACTTGAATTAAATAAACTTTTTTCTCTCTTTCGACCAAAGTTATGGAATGAACCTTTCCATTTCCGACATCTTGCAAAGAATACAGTGTTTCTACATGACGTCACGGCGGCCATTTTGGAATTCCAAAACAATAAAACGGCGGCCACGTTGGTGTCCCAAACCAATCCTGTGAGAGTTGAACTCTTTTCTTATGAAAACGCTCTCTTTTGTTCCAATAAATATACATAGACGCTGGCCACGTAAGTGAAAACGCTGACTATAAATTAAATTAAATTCTCTGTACATTTCTTTGTGTTATTTTGAATATACATTGATAATCAAAATAATTTGTAAAATGAGCCAAAAATTGTGAGTCATACATTCTGTTTTGCTTAACATGTTTCTACTTTAACGTTTTTTTTCTGGTTTTGATTTAATTAGTTTAAATTTGTACACCTTAATATATGCGACCTCAAGTTTAATCTCGGGACTATTGATTTCTGATCTATTCCTTTGTTTCATGCCCTGTTAGTTCTCAACTATACTACGACTTTTAATCCACTTTACTACTGTAAAATTTTTTTGATACATTTTCGCCTCGAGCAGGGTTCAAATGTTGTCTTTAACCATTTAAATGAAAAAAAACTTCTACCGGCGGCGTGTTTGCTTCAAGTGTATAGATTTTTTTGTACTCTCAGAGGAAAACGAAAATGGAGATACTGATGCAGAATGAAAATATAGTTGTTTAGTTCTTCTTTTTTTTATCATTTTTATCATTACAATACACAACTCAACAAGGAAAACGAACAAAATTCAGTGTGCAGTATTTCTGACGAGCACCTCATCGACAAACAAGGGATCTCGAAAAGAAGTACATTTCGTCTGAAGTAAGACGCCTATATACCTTGCGTCGTTATTTAAGTATTCCTTTCAATGATATCAGAAAGCAAAGTGTAAAGCTCAGAAGAACGGTTTAAAAAGCTTCATCAATTTTTTTAAAAAAGTAGAATGATTTAGACTAAAGCTTGCTTGATTCCAAATAATCCCTAATCCTAGAGTTAATAAAAAGTTTTTGTGAGTTTAATAGTCTTGTAAAAAAAAGTGTAATCACTCAGGTGAATCCACTATTACTTCTTCTTTCCATTGTAAAATGGGGTACAAATACAATTTACGTAGGTTTCTTTTTCCAATATAATATCTGAATAAGTGGACACTTGTGCAGTTAATTCATCACGCTGAAACAAAAGTCGTATATTGGAACAGTTTTCCTCTTAAATTTGTTATAAAAGGCGTTATACACTGAACTAGTAGCATTCGAAACTTGAGAGCAATAATGAAGCGTGTAGCTCAAGGAATTGTCGTCCTCCTCGCGGTTTTTGCTGTTATCTACGCAGAAACGTCTGAAAATGTTGCTTCCGATGAAAGTATTCTTAACTCGCCTAAAACCAACGATAGAAACGTAGCTGCGACTCCAGCGGAGGATGAAAAAGAAGACGAGGCTGTCGCTCTTAAAGAAGCAGACGAAGGTAGGAGCGTCTAGTTAAAATTATCATGAACATTACCTATTAAAGTAATCTAATGATGCATATACATGAAATCGTTAGATTCACAAGATTCACAGAGATTTCCGTATCATTGCTTACTTACTTACTTGGGGAAATATTTGTGTGAATTTCTGGTATCTTCTTAAAGGCAATGAGCTACGGATTGATAGGTGTAAAACAGGGATAGAGATGCATGCCCGGCTATGCCCATTAGCGGTTCTACTTTTTTACTAAGGTAAGAATAATATTCAGACGGTACAATTTTTCTCTAAAAGACGGAGATGAAGATGCTGAAGATGAAGATGCTGAAGATGAAGAATTTGAAGATGAAGATGCAGAAGAGGAAAATGCTCAAGACGATGAAGATGAAGAACAAGATGAATATCCGGAAGATGAAGTGGCCGAAGCTGATAAGGAAAGCGACCCACTGACAGGTAAAAGCGGTTTCGCTCACCCCATTGCCAGTTGATTGCAAAATTCTCGTCTTTAGTAATGAAGAACATTTTCAGCTTATAATTACATTCTTATCCAGTCCGTGGAACAGCTTTTGGAAGCTTTTGTAGTTTAGTTTGGCTAAACAAGAAAAAAAAAAGAGAGAGTATTTAGCTGTTTTATGTTCATGCATCGGAATGGATGTAGATTCCATACACGGCACGACGCCCGCTCTATTAAGGAATTTGCGCGTACCAAAGACGAGTAGGTATTAACTTCGCCAACAGGCCAGTAGGAGGAAGAAAATCAGCCTGAAATTGCGTTATTTAGATTACTGGCACAATGATAGGACAAACAGATCATATTGGAGTCTGTGAGACGTCCTTTTTTACCATAAGCAATCGCTGCTTCTATTCAAACGTGAGCTTTTTTGTTTCAGAAGAGGATAGCGAAGATTATGAAGAGGAAGAAACACAAGAAGATTATCCCGATGAAGGTGATGCCGCTGACGAGGAAGACACCAAAAAAGAAAGTGATTCAGGTATTATGACATTGAACAAGTAATAATGAACAACAGGAACGTTTTTGTGCACTCGAGAGAAGACAGCTAGGAGTTGTGTTTTGATCAGGAGATATATAATCCTGGCATTTGCACATCTGGCCACGTTCGTATGCAATACAACTGAAACATTTTGGAAGAATTAGCATTGTACAAACCTGGCGATCGTTTCACGGCAAACGCGAATAAGACAAACAAAACTCTCTTTGCAAAGGTATTGTAACTCCGAAATCTCTTGATCAGCTGTTTCCAGCACTATATCAGTCGACAGTGACGCATCTTACAACCTTGCAATATGTAGCAAGGGAAAAAGTGCCTGACCGTTGCTCCTATCAGTAACTAAAAGCTTTAATCTTTTCTCTACTGGAAATTGGCCTGGAAAGATTACTCAAAGATTACTAAAAAAGACTGAAAGCTAATTTAAGTTTATAGTAAAACCTTCAACAAAAGAGAAGAGCAGGCCGATTTGTAGTGCCTTTAGATAAAACCTGTCGGTTCGCGGTTTAAATGTCATTAATTAAGTGAAAATACCGAAAGAAAGTTCACGTAGTTATAAAACAAGGTTGTGTTAATTGAAAGTTCTTTGCGCCCGTCTTATGGCACCTATTTAACCCTAATTTTGTCTCTCCTTCATATGATGTAAAATAACGCTTTTGTCTAATTGTGAATGAAACACTTTTATATAGCCAAAGTATGATGATCGACTGGGCAATTCTTTGCATCACGCATATAAAATTAAAAGCTTTTTATTTTAATTACCCTTTCAGGTTTGGAATCCCAGCAAGAAACCTGGCCCGTGCCTGTGGGTTGTCGCAGGCTCAATCCAGTGAGCCAAAAGTGCTGCTATGGAAGGGTTATCTCCAAGTTCCGACCATGCATTCGCCCCAAATGTGGCTTTTTGTACTACAACCCTCTGAACCAGAAGTGCTGCTTTGGAAGGGTCATCTCCAAGTTCCGACCATGCATTATTCGCCCCAAATGCGGTCTTGTATACTACAACCCACTGAGCCAAAAGTGCTGCTATGGAAGGGTTATCTCAAAGTTCCGACGATGCATTCGCCCCAAATGCGGTCTTGTATACTACAACCCACTGAGCCAAAAGTGCTGCTATGGAAGGGTTATCTCAAAGTTCCGACGATGCATTCGCCCCAAATGCGGTCTTGTATACTACAACCCACTGAGCCAGAAGTGCTGCTTTGGAAGGGTCGTCTCCAAGTTCCAGCCATGCGTTCGCCCCAAATGTGGCTTTTTGTACTACAACCCACTGAGCCAGAAGTGCTGCTTTGGAAGGGTCGTCTCCAAGTTCCAGCCATGCGTTCGCCCCAAATGTGGCTTCTTGTACTACAACCCACTGAGCCAAAAGTGCTGCTTTGGAAGAGTCGTCTCCAAGTTCCAGCCATGCGTTCGCCCTAAATGCGGCCTTGTATACTACAACCCACTGAGCCAAAAGTGCTGCTATGGAAGGGTTATCTACAAGTTGCAGCAATGCGTTCGCCCTAAATGCGGCCTTGTATACTACAACCCACTGAGCCAAAAGTGCTGCTATGGAAGGGTTATCCCAAAGTTCCGACCATGCGTTCGCCCCAAATGTGGCTTCTTGTACTACAACCCACTGAGCCAGAGGTGCTGCTATGGAACGGTTGTCTCAAAGTTTGTAGTATGCAAACCTCGCGCCAGATGTGGAAAATATTTTTATTCCCCTTTGATTCAGAAATGCTGCTCTTACCCGATACGCGTTGTGCCCAAGTTGGCCTCATGCTACATTAAAGGTTAGCAGTCTGAATACGATGCAAAGAGGACTTTGCACGAACATTTCAGGCGGAAAATGGAACATACGATTTTCAAATACTATCGATAAATAAGTTACTTTTTTGTCCGTTTATTTTTGTAACTTTTACAATGCTAGTGGTAAAAGCTTTTTTTAGTCTTAAGATCTTCTGGCGTTTTACATTATGCTGACGTGTAAGGGCTTTGACTGTGGTAATAATTTAAAGAGTTATTAAAGGTGTTAAAAGTGTTATTATTCTGGCGTAAGAATCTCTGACGATCATTACTGATCTTCGATAGCCGTTTCGATGTTAACAAAGTTTTAACTAATGCTATACGAACGTTATGGAGATATTTTTGGACGATAATTTGGGCGTGAAAAATGCAGTAAAATTTGAGCGAAGGCAAACTAGTTACTATCTTGATATAGAAACCGAAAGACTTTGGAGATGCAGTTTTCCTTCACAGTAATTTCATTCGATTTGCAAATGCTCGAGGTTCTCTGGTTGGGTTTTTGGAAAAGAATGTGATCTACCCCTAAAAGTGTTAATGATTTGAAAATCGCCCGAAGACTTTTTGATAAGTTGGACATCTTGGGCTATCATCCTTTTATCATCCCTGACGCAATTTGTCCAGACCTAAGTACGTACAGCTATAATGACGGGATCCCGTCTAACTGGGGGATGAAGATTTTCAGTGTACCCGCACTCGCCGAGCCAGCCGTAAACCAAACCAACAACAGGACAGCGGATAACACACTTTTCATGGGGACTGCTTCCAATCTATTTGTAAACATGGTCGGGTTTCTGCTCGCCTCTTTCAATGCTGCCATAAAATTCACCTTAGCAATTAAGTTAGCCAGCTCGGCAAATAAAACCTGCACAGCTCATGTAATCACCGGCCAGACAGGTTTGGATTCTACATTTCAAGCCGTGGATTTTGGATTCCAGGTACTGGATTCCAGTGTTTGTCAGTGGAACTTGGATCAGTCTAGATTCCAATAGTTAGTGGGATTCCAGATTCCTTGAGCTGCATTCCGGATTCTAAAGCCCAGTAGTCCGGATTCCACCAGTAAAATTTACCCAAATCACGGATTCCCCAAGCAAAATTTTCCCGGTTTCTGAAATCCAGGATTCCCTTTTATTGGATGACATGTCATCAGGACAATGAAAACTTGTAAGGTAATGGAAAAAAATGCGCTAAAATTTTGTCTCAAATTTCGTGTTTTGGGTCAGATTCTTTACCTGGTAAGTTGTGAGTATTTCTCCAAGTTTTATTTTCACGTAAAAAGCATGTGTATTATAGACCGATCTAAATAGCGTCTTTTTAACCACTGCCATTCTCACTTAATCCTATTTTCTATCACCTTTAGCATGGCTTCCTGCGGGGCAAATCTATAGCACCACAACCACTGGAGGTTTGCTATTTAAATTTTGCTGGACTTGCTGGCTAGAGCGAGAGGAAGTGGATACCACCTAAATGGTATCCAGCCAAGAGATGTCTTGCTTCATTCTATGTTCCTTTGGGCTTCCAGTGTTGTAAACAACAAATAATTCTTGCATTCATCCAGTGTGGCTACGAGCTATCCTCTGGTGTTTAGAGAACACAACTTGTTTCATTTTTTAGATCATCCATTTTACTAAGAGAATTTCCTGCGCTTTGCCTGTTATTAAAGAATCTGAATCTCGCTTTTTGCCAGCATGTCTAGAATAAGATTTGGGGAATGCATCTAAGGGCCTCTTCACATGAGTTCGGTCGACCGGGCTGGCCCGCTTACCACACACTGACCACAAGGACCAATTTCACCTTGGGTTTATATGAGAAATTTCAGCTCGGTTTCGGAGGTGAGAAAAGGCCGAAGACGATCGAGAGTTGTGGCACGAAATTCGAGAACTAAACGAACGTGCCGAAACACAAAGTTATAACTTTCGCGCCTATTATAGCTTTGGGAACTCTTATAGCTGTATCACTGTTGTGAAACGGGATGCTTATGATGTCAAGAGATGATGTGGAAAATACAACAGAAAACAGGCCCGTAGGGAGAGCGTCGCATCCCCCCCCCCCCACACATGGCCCATAGGTTCACTTTTCAGTTTATCAACGATCTAAAACAAAGTGACATTACTTATTTGTAAAAGCGGCTTAACAACCTTAAGGGTTTGTTTTTCATAATTTCCTGATTTTTTGTTATTTTAGTAGTGAATATATCTGTGTGGATTTCATACAGGGTGCCTGTACTCGGTCTCTAGACAGCCAAGTCCAAGGAGCAAATACTCACCTTCCCCACCCATGACACTTATGACTATTCAATCACTCCCCACAAGCTCTGCTAGCAGTGTTATAATTATGAGTCACAGCATTGATTTGGCTGGGCTAGCCCGAAGGAAAAATTCCTTGACTTTGCACTGCTTTCTGACAAGAAACTCTAATCAAAGCGACAAAATTTCGTCTCCCTAACCCCCTAGTTTTGACACAAAACAAGAAAGCCACCCACCCACGGATAGATCTGGGCCTGGGCTCTCTACTGACACCTAGCACGACAGCAAGCCTTCCGTTTTTTTTCGGCAACACTGGCTTGAACACGGGCGAATAATACACGGATCTACAACTTTCTTTCTTTTCTTTTTCTTTTTAAATAGTGACATTGACATCTGCCATTCTCAAAAACAAGAGAGAATGATCTCTCTTGTCAAAAATTGTAAAAGAAAGTATTCTTTTTGCAAAAAAAGCTAAAACGGAAATCAATTTGAAGTTGAAATTGAGAAATATCCACATTCTTAATGCAGTCACTGACAACCGAATTTTACCCCTAGGGAGTTGCGCCTCCGGCCTCTTTTGGTCCGTCTCCTTGTTGAATCGCACCCACCAGTAAAAAGTCCTGACTACGGGCCTGGACAAAGCAAGCTTAAGACGATGCAGAATTCATTCGAAGAATTCATCCCGCTTTCATTCGGGTAACCGGGCTGAAGTGTTCATATGGAAAAATTTTCCGGCCCACTTACCGAGATCTCGGGAACCGAGCCAGCCTGCCCTCTCATATGAACACATCAAAGAATTCAGAGGTAAGGCGAGATCTCGGAAACCGGGCTCATATGAAGAGGCCCTAAGAAGGGCACGAAACGAAAGAGTGTAAAAAATATCAAGCGTTCAAGGGCGAAGTGCGAAAATTATAGTAGCCAAAAATCAGTACCAAAATTATTATAATAATAGTTAGTGCTCTCTGATGAAATTTGTTTGATATCTCCTTCATAACTCGGCTACAGGAACATTTGACTTCATTCTCTTGAGGACTGTAGTTAATTTCTTGCTTGTGATTGCTTGCTAAGAAATGTTTTCCTACCTTACCGTACGTCGTCTTAAAAAACAGGTTCGGATTAAAAATTTTTAATGTCTCGGGTTGATGTGTCGAGGTGTGAAATCGTAGCCAGCAGAAGCTATTATTATATTCTTTGTAGCGTACATCGTGTGCGCTGACTTAAAACCATTTCAAAAGGAAGCTTAAAACTTGCTTATACCCAACATTCAAATATGCCCTGACGCCCATTTCTCGAAAGTCTTGTCAACGTGAGTTCTGCAGCAAATACTCTAGAACATAAGGATAAAGCTAATTGCAGCTATAATAGAAATCATACAATGACAATACCACAATGAAAAAAGATTAGATCAAACGAGTAAATTTATTTTAAAACAAATTTTACAAAAAGATTCAGTTACCCTGGGCACTCTCTCTTGAAAAAGACCTCTCTACAATTACCAAGAGGGCCCATCAGGGGCCGCTTTAAAAATTGGCCAATTTAAATACTAAGCTATACTAGAATAAATCCTGTATTATGCTCTACGCAAAAGCAAAATAAACGACCAAGTAACTTTAAAAAAATTCATTATGGGCAAAACCTACCTAAAGTGTAGAGTAAATCAACAAATTGTTCAAAATTACATAACCTGCAAAGCTGTTGACAACTATTAGCAAATTAGATTAAGATTTACGATCATGTTGCTTTCACTACTGTTCAGTTCCAGCGAATTACAGGTATGTGTCGCTCTCGGCAGAATAATGGTTCTCTGAAGACTTTCCAGCCTCACCAGAAAGTTCCAAGCTATAACTTTTTCTGAAGACCTTTTGACGAACTTTTTCCCAAGTTTTCCCGCTTGGCTATGAATAAAACCAGTGCTCAACGTTAGAACAAACACTATAATAATCATTATGACAAAGGAGATAGAGTCAAAAGAAATTGTACACTGACCAGTCGCGGATCAACTCCCCGATTTTCACCGTTTTACAGTCAGATTTTTCTAGACATGATAAATATAATTTCGATAATAAGAAAAACTATCCAAGTTAAAATCTGGAGATTCACCTTGATACATGAAATAATCCGCCGATTTACAAGGCCTCATCCGAGGAGAATGGAACTGGCCAATATCCTGTCTGAAAACCGACTCAGAAACCCAGGCAAGGGGACTTTGGGGAGTAAAAAAGCAAAATATTTGCCCAGACTGCATGCCCCCAGACCCCTTAAAAGCTTCCGCCTTCGGCGCTTGTTTACGAAATCGGTCAGTATTTATCCTGCACTCTACGGCGTAACTCAGATTTCGAAACCTATCCATCACATCGATGCCAGAATTTTGGCTATTAGGTCACGGTAAATAGAACCGACCCTCTACCCCGGCAATCTAAGCCAACGAGAAATGTCTTTTTCATTGGCATGCTGCAGGAAATCTTAAGGTAGCCGGCGTTTATTTTGGCAGCAGGGAATTGTACGACCAAAGGTGAAAAGAAAACTGAAGATAAAAGGGAGGCAAAAAGTTTCCAATATCAATACGGGAAAAATCTGGCTTTTTTGCCATCTTAATTGAGCAATATTTTTAGCAATATAGAAGTTCTCAGCCTGATGTCATAAAGAACTCTAAAGA